GTGTTTGTATATTTCTCTTCAAAGTATAAGTATGCGTTTCGAATATGTTCTATTGTTTGTTTTTCAATCAATTATCCAACAAATAATTCCTCCCCTTTTAAGTTACAAAGAGAACCTATTTATACTACCTTAGCTGACGTGGTGATCATTGGATCGGAACCATGTGGCCTCTTCTCCCCAATTGGGACGTTACATCACTATCTATTCATACAATTAATATATTGATAAGGGGTCAGCCACTCTGTACAATAGGCTGACATATAAACAAACTTTTATTACAAGTGTTACATCAATCACTACAAAGAGATCTTCGAATTTTACAAGGAACAACATCAGCTTACGAGCTTCAGACGAATTTGAGGGCAAGAACCTTCGAAGTAGTTCTCTAAGTGGAGAGCCTCAACTGCTTTCTTTGTTCCCTTAGGCAGCTTCGTCTTTGAGGTAGTGCCTTAGCATGGACTTCGTCCTTGCAGTGTAAGGATTTCGGCCTTGTTTGCTTTCTTAGTGTTTTGACCTCATGAGTCCTTATTTGACTTTCTTGTTGACCTTCTGCCTATATGGCTTGCTACGTGGCATTGTCTCTCTAAGCTAGAGGCGAGGAGTAACATTAGTCCCTTAAATCTAGGCATGATTATTTATGCAATACATGGACTTAAAAAATAAAAATTAGAAATTTTGTAAAGAGTAGTTTTTACCACACCACAATAGTCCTCTAAATCTAAGTATAATCATACATGTTATGATTAGAATTTTAAAATATACCTAACCTGTGTAGACCTTATATAGGTGTTACCCGAAGTGGTTGACTTGATAATTTTTCAGCTTTTGAACAATCTTGGAAAGGTTTGCCGAAGTGTGCCATTATATAACCGATGCTCTAAATGACGTTGTTGAGGTAAAGAGGGTCAGAGTCACGAAGGGCTTCGGATATGAAGATTACGAGGCATTTTAATGTCTTTGAGAAACAGGAGTCGTCCTCAATTATGGCGCCTCAATGATTTGATGTCGTGGTGCGTTTCCAAGAAAAGATAGCTGAAGCGGTTCGTCTCCCAATACAGGCAACTGTCTTCATTTTTAATGGTCAATGATGGTTGTCTTCCACATACATTACAAGCTGTAGATGCATGAAGACGAGTGATATCAATGTCCTAATCTAGGCCATAGAAGACGAAGTATCAGACGTGGTTAGTGGTTCGAATTAAGACTTATACATGGATGGTTGGATGGTCCGGATCAAGATCTAATGGCTGGGGTTGAATAGGTCTGCCTATAAAAAAAATGCAAACATTTAGAAGAATTTCTTTTCACTTTTGCAAGAATCTTTGTCTCTCTTTTTCAAAATCTTCAAGTCTTTTTGAGAACTCTTGGAGCTTTTTTTCGTGAAATTCTTCCAAGTGTTCTTTTTTTTCTCTGAGTTTCTTGTTCTCTTCTTGTGATTTCTGTGAATTTCCAGTGTTCCTTTCCTTTCAAGTTATTTGAGAAACTCGTAAGTATTTTACTTTTGTAATTTGTGAAATTTTTTTTAGATAACCTGTAAGTCGATGGCTTCTTCGAATTCGAAGGTAGGTCTTAGCGAGTTAGCCAGTGAGATGGGGTTTCGAATTACGAAAATTGTCGACCTCGCCCGAGCCGTTGAGGCAGGGCGAGGTGCTTCAATATCTGGGGATGGTGACAGGGATGATGATATAGCCTGGGGGCAGCTAAAATTC